AGGGCCACTGGAATTAGGGCCACTGGAATTAGGGCCACTCGAATCAGGGCCACTGAAATTAGGGCCACTGGAATCAGGGCCACTGGAATTAGGGCCCGCCGGGTCACCCTGCACCAGCCCGTCGCGCCGGTCCAGGCCCCCCGCCAGAGCCAAGTGGTCGGAAACCCACTTCAATTTGGCAATGCCCATCTCGGGCGTCACCGTGCCGCCAATCTGCTCTAGGGCCGCGGCCGGGAGGCGGCGCGCGACCCACGGCGCCTGGGCCTGCGCCCGCGTGTCCATCCACACAATCACCTCCTCACCCGGCTGCGCCAGCCGGAAATACGCACGCCCGTTTTCGGGCCGCACGCGCTCCATCACCACCATCGAGCATGTCGCTGCCACGCACACCGCGCTGGGACGAACACACGGCCGGCCCGGGGTGCGTGTGGCTGGCTGCAAAATCTGCGGCGGGCGGGGCCCAGGGCCCGAAGGCGCGGCCGCACTGTCCCCGGCCTGGACGTCGCGCGCAGGCCCCGCCAAAAGGTCCGATCCGGCGCGGCCCATCCGGCGCGGCCCCTCGGGGCCGGTGGCTTGCACATCGGGACCCCGTGTATTTGCGTTTCGCGGGCTTGAATTTTGCGGGCTTGAGTTTCGCGGGCTTGAGTTTTGCGGGCTTGAGTTTTGCGGGCTTGAGTTTTGCGGGCTAGTATCTCGAAGACTTGCATTTTGCGGGCTGGTATCTTGAACACTTGCATCTTGAAAGCTTGCACCTGAAAGGCCGGGTTCTCGGGGGGCGGCGCCCGGCAGCGCTGGGTCGCCGGGCTCCAAAGACGCGGCGAGCGCCTCGTCGTGTTCGGCGACCATCAGCAAGATTTGGGCCCAGAGGGCCGGCCCACTCATGGTGTGCCTGGGGCCGTCGCTTTGGCGGGCGAGCGGCCTCTCGAGATCACGGGTCTGGTTTGCCTCGGCATTGTGCATGGACACGCGCACGGAGTCGGAGCCTATGTCGATACCTATCAAGTTCATGATATACCGCGGCGTTGACTGAGGATGACGGTGCGATCATGAGGCCAGGCCGGCGGCGCGCCCCGCCAACCGAGCGAAGCCAATACTCGTGTGCTGCACGAATCGGTGGCAAAAGCCACAGCGAGCAATGCAGAATCAGGAAGACCGCACTCGAACAAGGTTGCCCGGTCGGCCCAGGCATGCAGCCGAACACAAGGTGAACGTGAAACTCGGGGCATGTGAGCGCACTTGCGATCAGTCCGCCGCAGGAAACGGGAGCGAGACTTGACCTAATTACAGGACAGAATCGGAGCAAAAAAGTACGAGTGCCATGGACGTATAGGCTAATGAACGGACGAAAACAAACAAACAAAAAACAAAAGAACAAAAGAACAAAAGAAAATACAAAACAGAAGAACGAAACAAAACAGAGAATCAGAAAATCAGAAAATCAAAACAAAAATAAAAAAACAAACCCGCAGACGGCCATGACAACACAGCCTTGGCACCCAAGAAAGCACATCGGAGCCACCGAAACCGCGTTCGCTAAACTGGCAAGACACATGCGAACCCGGCAGAAGAACCACGGTGTGTTGATAAAAATGAATTAGAAATACAAGGTATAAACTAGAAAAACAAAACTCACGAAGAGAGAGTAATGTCGCTTCCGTCCAGAGAGGTCCAGGCGCTGACCTGCTCAGAGCTCAAGGTGCTCTCGAATTCAAAGTCCGAGTCCACGGTCTGGATGTGGATCTCGCCCTCGTAGAAAATGACAACCGCCTTCATGACGCTGTCGTAGGGTCTGGAGATGTAGTCGCTGGAGCCACCGCCATTGGTGCCCTGCTTGTCGTGCAAGGCAGTGACCATCTTGTCGTAGTCGTTCACAAGCACCTCGAACAAGTCCAACTCACCACAGCCGGAGGTCCAGCACGAAATGTCGAGGTACTGGCCGATTCTGGGGATCTTGGCGTTCAACAACCAGATGGCAGGCATGTCGTAGCCGGTCGAGGAGCTGGAGTCGGTGTCCGAAGGCATGGTGAAAGAAAACACCATGATCTTCTCGGCTCCCGCAAACGCATGGTAGGCCACGGAGTCCGGTCTGTAGTACCCACAGCTGTATTCTTCAGAGCTGTCGTCACACTCAAGTCCCGACCAAAGCGAAAACTCGCTGATGGACAGGAGCGTCACCTCCTTCAAAGCAGTGGCCTCAGATGCGGCGCCCAGGTTGTCGGAGTTGGCGTACGAAAGAGAGTTGCCCCAGGTGGACGACCACACGCCGGAGCCTCCGCCTCCGTAGTTGTTCAAAACAGTGAGGTTCGACGTGCTGCCAGGCGTCCAGTGGGAGCTTCTGACCCAGTCTCCAGCGCTAGCGGAGGACGTGGTAGACAGGGTGCTGGAGGACGTGGAGGCGGACGTGGCGGCGGTCTTTGTGTCCGCAGAAGTGGTTTCAGCAGACTCGGAGTCGTCAGCAAGAGCCACGGTCTTAGTGATGGGCTCGCCGCCCTCATTCACATACATGGTCTGGGTCACGATCTTCGTGGCCCTCTTCACGTGCTGGTGGTGAAGGTGCTTGGTGGTGGAGCAGTCCTCGTCGTCGTCCCTCTTTTTGTTAGAAGAGCCGCTGGAGGGGTAGTACACACCAAACTCCTTGAAGGTGATAGGCCCTCTCACGTGCACAGACAACTCCTCGTCAAAGGGCGACAAGGAGCCGGAAAAGGCAGACGTCTCGTACGACACGGCAGTGCTGTCTTCGTTCATGCTGACCACGTTGGTGTACGAGCCAGAAAAACCCACGTTTTTGTAGACGAACTTGTCGGTTTCATCACAGTAAGTGTAGCCGTCGGCGTACGTGCAAGAGGATGCGGCCACGGAGCCTACCAAGGCAGAGGCCACGGCGGAAAGAATTACGAACTTCTTCAAAGGAGCGAACAAAGTAGGTGTAAGGGAATGACTGGGGTAAGAAGATGGGTAGAAGGAAGAGGAAGAGTAAATAAGAAGAGAGTGAGCAAAAGTGCCGGGGCGGAGGGACCAAGGCTGGAGCGGCCTGCAGGCCGGAGCCTGGGCACGCATGCTGGCGGCGCGCGTTTCGGGAACCGTGGCCTGCAGGCGACGCTGTGCGCAGCTTTACGTCTCATGTCATCGCCACCATGCACACCGTGCGTTTTGCGACGACAATTGAAACACGCTGCGTGCGTCGGGGCAGGAGGCACTGTGGTGAGTAGGCATGGCCGTGGCCTTATTTCGCCGGCGTGCGGCGGGGGCAGGAGAGTGGTCCTAATATGGCCACATGGTGGCACCCTGGATCTGCACCCTCGTGAGGGGGCCACCGGCATTGGTGGACCTGCACTGTGAACATTTGCTCCCACACCCATGTGTGTTGCACAGTGAGCGATGGGATTGCCGTCGTGCCAGGCGTATCATGTGCTCTGCATGCTTCCTCGCTAGTATATTGCTTTTGGGCCCATCCTCGCCTCCCGGGCACCGCCACGCGGTGGGAATCAGGGTTCTGATACCTTCTCTATTTTGCAGTGCAAAAAGCTTAAACAAACGCGAAACGCGCCAAGGGCCAGGAGCTGGGACAACACTTCATTGCTTAGACTTTTCTTGGGGACTTTTCTTGGCTGACATCAGAATCAGAAGAGCTTGAGCTTGCAGTGAACTTGACTTGGGGTCCATCTGCCCAAGCCGATGAATCATAGCGTCCAATAGCCGTGGTCTAGATTTTTTGTTTCCTTTTTTTTTCCTCTTAATTGTACTACACATTGTCGACTTTAACCTTAGTGCGGCATTTGAGACGGGGCTTAGGCACATTGCATTTCCTCGGCATGAAAGCGTTTTGGAGCTGCCCGGTTCTTTTTTCTGCGTATTTTCAGCGACATGCTTGAAGCGTTCTTGAGCAAAATGGTGTGCCTTAACCTGGTGCAGTCTATGTTGCTTATTCCGCTGGAACCTTTATTGTTCCTCTAGGGGTCGCCGTTCTCGTGCCTAGCCCATGTGTTGTCTCCAGATCAACTCAATAAAAGATGCGACTTGGCGTTTGGCTGGTTCTGCATGCGAGCCGTCCAGTATGGTGTTTATCATTTCTCCTATTAGAATGCCGCGGCCTCACATGGCCTTGAGTGCAAGATATCAGATAAAAGACAACTACGGCTGCACCTGCTCTGAGAAAGACGCACCAGACGTCGATGAACCCCAGAAATACGGTGCTTTCTGTTGTTTCTGGAACTCGTGGCCTGGCTCTGGTTTGAACGGCCTGCTATCCGGGTGTGGTCTTTCTACCCGAGCCGGAATCCCAGATTGTGGCTGACGTGACTATGAGCAAGCCTTCGACAAGGCTCCGCCCCTATTCACACACGTGACAGATGTTGTAGTCGTCTGTTAGGTTTTGATTTTTGCTGGACGCCTGTGCCCGATCGTCGGCGGCCAATAAAATGGCCTTTTGTCCGGGGAAGCATTCCATGAAATACCCCGGCTAAGAGCTACATATTTAGTCGCTTCGTGCGGCTCTCCGCGGCTCAAAAAGGCTCTCCAAAAACCCGGATCCATGTTTTACTGTTTGGCAAGCTGCAGGGCCACGCTTATGGTTAGGTGAGATTGCACTATATTTCTTTTCCCCTTTCTTGGTCCTTTTCTGGATCCCTTAGCCTTGTTTTGGTTGTTTGAGAACAGAATGTCCCAGGCAAACATTCTTCTGGTTCGTGCCAGGCCTGCACTCACTCGCTCGCTCGCCTAGTCGAGAAAACGCAGAGCTCCATTTCACGTAGAGACCATTGCTGCGTAGTCGGCCATTTTCAAACTAGTCCATTTTCGAAGCAGACCTTTTTTCATTTGGTAGAGCATTTTGACTGATCAAAGCATTTCACTTGGTGCTTTCTCACTTAGTAGATTATTTTTCAAAGTAGGGCATTGTTGCAAAGCAGACCGTTTCTCAAGGACCGTTTGTCAAGGACCGTTTCCAACATCACATTTGGGATTTTCTTGTCTACGCAAAAACGGCTTACTCTTGCCACTCCCAGCATTGTGCCGGTTTTTCCACTCCTGCCTCATGCTTTTGTAGCTGTTTGGTGTACTCCTATGGACCCCCACCAACCCAAGCTTATCGCGGCACGTGACCCGCCATCTTGCGCCATCGGCTGCGCATCCGTGAGCGCCATACAATATCTCATAGGAACAATACGGGCGCGTTCTAAAATTAGAGATACACGGTTCTTTTCAGCACCGCAATACTCCTACTTCACTCTAACCCCAGCCAATCGGCAGGTCCCAACTCTGGTTCCAAACAAAACGCTTCACTCGAGCCAAGCTGCCACATTGCTTGCATCCACGCCATCATAAAGACACACGTTCTTCGATCTGATCCATGTCGAACCGACACTCGCAATACAACTCGCCCGAGTTCAATTCCGGGTACTTCAACCCGTACGAGGCACGCTCGTCGCCCGCCAGCGGCCATGGTCCCAAAGTGGAGTTCAACCCCTCGGCGCCATCGTACCAGATGCTAGATCAGGTGTCCAAAAACTCGGCGTACAGCATGAAAATAGTGGTGGTGGGCGACGGCGGCTGTGGCAAGACGTGCATGCTTGTCAGCTACGCGCAGCAGAAGTTCCCGGAGATCTACGTGCCGACCATCTTCGAAAACTACGTTTCCACGGTGCGCTCGCCCGGCGGCAAACGCATTGATTTGGCGCTCTGGGACACCGCCGGCCAGGAGGAGTACGACCGTCTCCGGCCGTTGTCGTACCCGGACACGGACCTCATTCTCATTTGTTTTTCGGTAGACAACTTGGTCTCGTTGCAGAACGTCAAGGATACGTGGTACCCCGAGGTCAACCACTTCTGCCCCGGCATCCCCGTGATCTTGGTAGGCACAAAGAGCGACTTGGCGCTGACGATTGACGACGCGTTGCCCATGCAGATCGCGCAGGAAATCAACGCCGTGGCGTACATCCAGTGCTCGGCGAAGACCATGACCAACGTGAAGGAGGTGTTTGACTACGCGTTGTCGAGATTCCAGAAGGACTGCGAGATGGCCGAGCAGGTGGACAGGCTGCGCAAGCGTCTCTCGATTCTCCGCGGCGTGCCGGGGCACACGCGCAACAACAGCTCTGCGAGTTACAAGAAAGGCCATTTCAAAAACGCGTCCGTGAACTCGAGCGTGTTGCTCGACGCGCCGTTGACCGAGGAGCCCTACGACTCCAACCCGTATGCGGCCTCGCCGTACCAGCAGAAATACAACGAGGAGGAGTTTGCGTTCACGCGGAAGAAGAAGTCGAGAAAGTGCGCGATTCTCTAGTTGGATGGGGCAAAGCCGAGGAACCGTTGGGGCCATTAGTGTATGATAGAGCCTGGTGGGCCGCGGCATTGGGGCGGTGCCGCGTCTGCACGGACGAGAATGTGTATATTATTATGTTTGTATCTATAAGATTCTACTGGTTACCGGGAGGTGGTGCTGAAGCACGAAGTCTTGGTGCGTGGGGAACGGTGCGGGTAGGGTTTATGGTTGAAATAATAAGGGGACAATAAGATGTTGATAGAGTGCTGAGTATCAATACATATGGAATGGCATGCAGTAAAGCTTTGATATTGAAGGTGTGGAGGACCGGACGCTTATTGTCTGGGGGAAACATTAATCTGGTGCCATAGAAGTCAATGGTCAGGGTAGATCTAACCACGATCTGATACTTAGGTGAGCTACACATATAAAAATATAGAAGTAGGGAAGTATGAGAAGGTGATCTGAACGGAGCCCGAGTGAGTATGAAGAGAGAAATAAAGTGGAGTGCAGCCAAATGATTCTAAAGAATTCTAAAGCACTTTAATCTACCACATCCACTAAAAAAAACAGAAATTTCCTAGCCATTAAGAATAATTTCAGAGGATTCAAAAGCATTACACATAATTTCAAAGTTTTGAACCCCTACAATCCACCACAAGGCACTTTAAAGCACTACAAAGAGAATCAAAGCTGTTTAAACCACTAGACACCACTTCAAAGCACTACAATCACCATCTAAGTAAAACAAAACACTACAATCCACCACAGATCACTAAAATCCATAACAAAGCACTGCAATCACAATCAAAGCAAAAAACACTACAACCCACTTCAAACCACTGCAAACTATATAAACGACTACATACCACCTCCAAGCACTTCAAAGAGATACAAAGAGATACAAAGGGATACAAAGGGATACAAAGGGATACAAAGTATTTTAGCCCAGTTCAAACCACCTCAAATCACTACAAAACACTACAAGTTATTCAAGCCACTACAAATAACCCCAAAGCACGAGAAAAAATTCCGCAGCATCTCCAAGTATTTAAAGTACTCGAAACCACTGCAAACCACTACAAACCACTAGAAATATTCCGAAGTATTTACAAACCTTTTAAAGTAATTGAATCCCTACAAACCACTAAAACGAATTCCGCAGCATCCCAAAGTATTCGAGCTACAAGCGATTTCGCATTATTCAAACCACTACAAAAGACCACGAATAATTTTGAAGAATTTCAAGCGGTCCAAAAACCTTCAAGTATTTCGAACACATCACACCATCATCTAAATAAAAAGACACTGCAAACCCTTACAAACCACATTATCTAACCCCAAAGCATTCCAACCAATTCCGCAGCACATTTAAGTGTTTCAAAGTATTTGAAACCACTGCAAAGCAATACAAACCACCACAAATAATTTCGCAGTATTTAAAGCACTACACACCACTACAGATTTCCCCAAAGCACTAGAAAAGATTCAGCAGTATTTCAAAACCTTTAAAAGTATTTTAGTCCACTTCAAAGCACTGCAAATAATGTCGCAGTACTTAAACCCAGTTCAAAGCACTACAAAGTACTAGAAAACAATAAAAGTGATCCAAACACATCAGACCATCATAAAAGACACTACTTAGCACTTCAAAGCGCTGCAACCACGTCATAGTATGTAAACCACTACAATCCACGTCAAAGCATACAAATCACTTCAAACAACTACAAATAACCCCATAGCACGAGAAACAATTCAGCAGTAATTCAAAACATTGCAAAGTACTTCAATCCACTTCAGCGCACTGCAAATAATTTTGCAGTAATCAAGCCCAGTCCAAAGCACTAGAAAACACTACAAAGTACTACAAACCACTACGATCCACCACAAATAACTCCAAAGCACTAGAAAAACTCCGCCGAATTTCAAACTTTTCAAAGTATCTCAATCCACTTCGAACCATTGCAAATAATTTCACAGTATTTAAACCCAGTCCAAAGCACTACGAAGCGTCACAAACCATCACAAACCAGTACAAATAATTCGAAATATTTTAACCACTACGGATTTCCCCAAAGCACTAGAAAAGATTCAGCAGTATTTCAAAACCTTTGAAAGCAGTTCGAACCACTTCAAACCACCACAAATATTTCGCAGTATTTAAGCCACTACAAACCACTACAAACCACTGCAAACCACTTCAAACCACGACAAAGAATTTCAAAGAATTTCGAGTGCCTCAAAAAACTTTAATTAGTTCCAACACATCAGATCATCGTCTAAATGAAAAGACACCACTTAGCACTTCAAAGCACTGCAACCACGTCATAGTATGTAAACCACCACAATCCACGTCAGAGCATACAGCGCACTTCAAACAACTACAAATAACCCCAGAGCACTAAAAAGACCTCCGCGGTGTCTCAAAGGATTTCAATCCGCTTCAATCCACCTCAAAGCACCAGAAATGATTTCACAGTATGTAAGCCACTACAAACCCGAATGCAATGGTGGCAATGCCAGTGATGCTACGATGCTGGGAGCAGTGCCAACAGTGCGACCACGGACGCGAACATAAACGATAATATGAGTGCTGAGACCAGGGCTAATATCCGTGCTTCTAGGTGCGAAGACTAGTGCTGAGATAAGTGCTGAAGTCAGCGAAAAAAGAAGGCGTGCGGACATCCATTGCTGCTACCTTCAGATTAATTGTTGGTCTGCTGGTACATTCGACGTCCCCATTCCCGTGTCTCATCCATCCACGCCACGGGGCCATGGCTCTGGCCCCCCGCGCTCTGGCCCTGGCGTAGGCCCAAATCGCGCGCGCGCCCGGGCCAGAAACCAGGCATGGCCCTAACCTTGGCCCGCACCGTACTTCTCTGACCATCCGCCGCCACCACACCACACTCCCGCCAGGCCCTCGTACGCAACCATGAGCGCCCCTGTGGATTCCGCGACGGCGGCCGTGCGCCGCCGGGCTGCCAAAACCCCCCTAGCCGCTCCCCCAGAGGCCGCCGACAAAACCGGCCCTGACCAGGAGACGACCGGTCGAACCCTGCCCAAAGATGCCGGCAACGGGCCCAGCGACCACTACCAAACGCGGCTTCCCGCATGGCGATATGCCCTCCGGCAATGGTGCTTGCCCATTGTGCGCGAGGAAACCGAGGCGTTGGCCCGGCTCCAGGCCTGGGCACGCACGCCGGCGCTCGATGCGTACTTTGCCTGGACCGCCAACTTGGCCTCGCACACGTTCTACGTGTTGATGCTCCCGCCGCTGTTCTGGTTCGGCGCGTCGGCCATGGGCCGCGACCTTGTGTTTGTGCTCGGCATGGGCGTGTACGTCACGGGGTTCTGCAAAGACTTGCTCTGCTTGCCGCGTCCCCGCTCGCCGCCGTTGCAGCGCATCACCATGCTGGCGTACACGGCGCAGGAGTACGGGTGGCCGTCGTCGCACTCGGCCAACGCCACGGCGGTCTCCTTGGTGCTCCTCTGCAGGCTCGTGCAGATGCACGGCCTGATGAGCACGGCCCGTTTCGCCGCGCTCGCGGCGCTCTTGGCCGGGTACTACTTCTCGCTTCTCTTGGGCCGCTTGTACTGCGGCATGCACGGCTTCTTCGACGTCGGGGCGGGGGTCGTGCTCGGCGCAGGCCTCTTCCTTTTCCGGCACGTGTACGGCGCGGCCTACGACACCTGGCTCCTCCACTCCGCCCGGAACGCCAGCTGGCTGGGCATTTTCGCCACGGTGGCCATGATCGTCGCGGGCCACTTGTTCTTGGTCCACGTGCACCCGGAGCCGGTCGACGACTGCCCGTGTTTCGACGACTCCGTGGCGTTTGTGGGCGTGCTCCTTGGCCTCGACTTGTCCCACTACTTGTGCGTGCTCACGGGCTACTTCGCCGCGAGAAACGAGCATGCGGACCCGCTCCTCATCCCGTTCGATCCGAGCAGCGGCGCGCTCGTTGCCGCGGCCCGCTTTGCCGTGGGCGTGGGGCTCGTGGTGGCCTGGAAACTGCTTCTGAAGCCGCTCGTCTTCACGGTGCTCCCGCCGCTCTACAAAAGGCTCGGCATCGGCCTGTCCCGGGGCCATTTCATCTCCACGGCGCACACGGAAAAGACCACCCGCCAAGTGCGCAGGCAGTCGCTCTCGAACATGAGGAACGAGCCGTTGGCAGACTTGGACAAGGTGCTCAGCCCGCTCACCGTGACAATGTCGCCCGAAACCGACATCGACGCGTACGAGCTCCTAGACTACCAGTCGCACGGCCCCCTGGAGCCCGGGGTGCCGGTCCAAATCAGTGGTGTGTTCAGGCCCCGGTACGATGTCGAGATCACAGGCAGATGCATAATCTACGCGGGCATCGCGGGCATGGCTGTGTGGGGCTTGGGCTTGAGCGTGGTGCTCTTGGATTTGGTGTGATATGAGAAGCCTGTTCCGCGTTGCCTCGGCATGGCGCTTACCTGATTTGCTTGCACTGGCCTCAGATGGGACTTGTCTCATTTGACTTGAACACGGTATACCCGCGTGCGTCTGATTAGGTTCCCTCGCATATGATTCTGCCCGCATCGATTCCACTTGACTTATTCCATCTGAATTTAATTTCGCTTGATTTGAGCTTGCCGGCTTTCCCCTAGCCCTGCTGTCTTTGGGCTGCTCTCGGAAATAATGAAAGACCGTCCCCAGCCTGATCCAAAGTCACCGCCTTTTATTACATGCCATGCGCGTCTCATCCAATAATTCGCCATGCAGTTTCCATCACGTAAGTGCGATGAGACTAAAGACAGGAACAACGGAAAAAAGTCCAGAGGCCTTCCACGCTGGACCAGGCACATCCATATTCTGCTCAAGTTCCCTGTTCTGTTGTCGGCTACAAGCACTCTCACAATGACTACCGAAGCCCATGTTCCTGGAGTGAGAGAGACTCAGCAGTCCTCAACCCCAAAGGCCTCGGCCGACAACCATGCGAACAAGAAGCTCAAGCAGCCCAAGAAATACAAGAGGAAGTACAAGTCCAAGGACGTGGACCCGACATCTCCTATGGGCGTGTTGCAACATGAAATCAAGGAGATTTTGAGGGATCACAATCTCTCCGAGGAAGATATCCAGAATGATTTGAAGGAATTGCTCAACGATGTCTCAGTGGAGCAGATGTACCACCGGAATGTCAGCGATGTGGAGGTCTTGCGCCTCTCGTCAAACGGAGATGGCCTTGCGCTCATACCGCATCCGGCCAATGCGGACAAGAAGCAAATTGTCGTGGTTCCCTTCGCATTTCCCGGTGATGTGGTGTCGATCCGCGTGTTCAAGTCACATCCTTTGTACGTCGAGTCGGATCTTCTCCGAGTGACCAAGTCATCCAACAACAGGAAAGACGAATTGATCAACTGTAAGTACTTTGGTAAGTGTTCCGGATGCCAGTATCAGAACATCGACTACGACACCCAGCTTGAGTTCAAGAGACAGACCATTGTCAATGCATACCGCTACTTTGCGCCCAGGCTTTTTTCGGGCGAGCTTCCGGAAGTCGAGAAAACGCAATCCTCGCCTTTGAAATACGACTACAGAACCAAACTCACGCCACACTTCAATGTTCCCAACCGAATCCCGCAAGACTACAAGAGACCATCCGTTGGTTTTGGCAGTAAAGGCCGCCCAGAATGGCGCGAAAATGTCCAGGGTGGTGACCAGCTGATCCTTGATATCGAGGAGTGTTCGATCGGCACGCCTATTGTCAACCAGGGAATGGCCAACGAAAGAAGCCGGTTCTTGGGTGACTTCAGAAAGTACAAGAAAGGAGCCACCATTCTTTTGCGGGAAAACACTCTCTTCCCCGATGCGAACGGTGAGTTCGAGCCGAAGAGTGGCTCCACGAATCCTGAGAACGAGATCTCCAAGCTTGAGGTCGAGGTTGGTGACAAGAAGCTTCTCAAGACATGCGTCACGGAATCGCGTACCATTGTCACGGAGTATGTGAACGGCTACACTTTCGAGTTCAGTGCGGGCGAGTTTTTCCAGAACAACAACCTGATATTGCCCATTGTGACGGAGTACGTGAAAAACAACTTGCAGATTCCAGGCTCGGGCGCCGAGGACCAAAACTACTTGGTGGATGCATACTGCGGGTCCGGGCTCTTCTCGATCACGTGTCTGACGGGTGTGTCCCGAGTCATTGGTGTGGAGGTTAGTGCAGACAGTGTCAAGTTTGCCGAAAGAAACGCCAAGAAGAATAAGGTTGAAAACGCCAGCTTCATTGTAGGCAAGGCGGAGGAAATCTTTAAGAATATTGACACCCCAGCCGAGCGCACGTCCGTGATCTTGGACCCTCCTCGCAAAGGCTGTGACGAGGTGTTCTTGAACCAGCTAAGCGCATACCACCCGGCAAAGATCGTCTACATCAGTTGCAATGTGCACTCGCAGGCTCGAGACATCGAATGGTTCATCAACAACACAGAGACCGGAAAGGACTATAAGGTTGAAAGCGTGCGAGGGTTTGATTTCTTCCCCCAGACGCACCACGTGGAGTCCGTGGCCGTTTTGACTTTGAAATAGTGCATGTAGACTCGTGTGGGTCAAACGGAAGTAAATAGAATTAGATACTTGCAGATGTGTTTTACGCCTATGGGATTCTTATATTAGACTATGAACAATCAAATTAGACAGAACAATAGTAGGACGATTTGCACCCATTCCAGAGCGCATGCGCACTCGTCTCGCACACATTGAATCGTGGACAACCACATGAGCAAACACCAGAAGCGGTTCTTCTATTTCCATGTGACTAATTTTGGGATCTCCGTGTGTGTTGCCTTTTCCAACTCACCAGAGCCCATTCTGCCGCCTTTCTATGCGCCATTGGTCTTTTCGACCCACCGGCCAGAAGGCTGTGAGGGCTCGTGCCCTAACGCTTATCTGCACGCCGTCGAGCAGAGGCCACCTGCACGCACCGTCAGCTGTCGCAGCAGGCTCAAGTTGGGAAAAAAATTTCCCATGCGGTTTTTCCCTCCCAACTAAGACATCATACAAAATGGAGAACGATAAGGGTCAATTAGTATGTAAACCGACGCCGACGAAATACTCGCATAAGCGGGCGGGACGTGTCTACCGAACTCGTTAGAATCTTGAATCAATCTGTCCACCTGATGCTGGATCTCTCCGTAACATAAGATCACCTTCCTGTGGTCATGATAACTAGGTGCTGGATGATGGTGAGCACCGAAGTTGAACTCATTTCTACCCATGAAAACAGCACGTCCATAAGTGCACAGTACGGGAAAAACCGACATCAAACTCCCGCTGCCGGTTATGAAATATTTATCCTGCCAGCCGCCCCTCAGACAATACTAACTATCTCAGGTCGAATTGTACGTGCCAAGAAAGTGTTCTGCTTCCAACAGAATCATCAAGGCCAAGGACCACGCTTCCGTCCAAATCAACATCGCCAACGTCGATGCTGAGGGCAGAGCCATCCCAGGTGACAACACCACTTACGCCTTGTCCGGCTACATCAGATCCAGAGGTGAGGCTGACGACTCCTTGAACAGATTGGCCCAACAAGACGGTTTGTTGAAGAACGTCTGGTCTTACTCCCGTTAAGGAAATGTATATCTAATATCATATAACCATTTGTAATGCATGCGTAGATGACATTGTCGGAAGATTACTGTGTAGTTAGAGTGGCGCGGTGCGGTGTGCTTCGAAGGTCGATGTACGGTTTCGTGGATTGTCGTATTGATCGGTGCGAAATTCGATATTTGGTTAGTATTGAAGCCACCCGGTTTTGGGCGCCATGTGCTTGCTGGGAAATTCGCTTATTGATCACGATTTTTCATACGGGGAAAGTCCATGGCGTAGTGAGAGAAATCACGCTGTTTGATGGGGAGTCATTGTATTGCTCAGTGAGGAATTGTACGGTTCGGTAGGGACGCATCCCGTAGCGCGAATCGATCTACTGTTTAACCATCCTCAATGTTCTTCCCAGCAAATACCTTATCCGATGTCGATATACTTATCTGCCATTGTCCAATTACATCAGGACAATCCGCATAAAGACGAACACGCTAGTATGCGTTTTGCATATTCCAACATCTTTGTCAACCATCAAATGGCACCATGTGCCGGTTTGTTCGCCCTCCGCAGAAGCTTCGCCCTAATTATAGGGCCAGTCCCAGAAGCGCCTTCACACCAGCGCCCGTCTCGTGGACCCCTCGCTTTCCTCTTCTGGCACGAAGCTTTCTAAGCCACCAAATATAAACTTCGAATACAAAACAAAACAAAGAATCCAGGATGTTCAAAACAGAGCTCCTTTAGTCAGGTACATTCGAAAAAAACAACACACGCTTTCCCGAAATTGGGCTCCCCGCAGATATCCTTGATCTGGATATACCCTACTTTGTCAAACATGGGACTCCCTAAAACGTGTAACCTCTGTCTTTTCTACATCAAGCTCCGAAATTAAGTTGCTCCGCTAGGCTCATCGTGACGAATTCTTTTTATGTGTTCCGAAATGGGCTGCCCTTTTTGTTTGCCCTCTTTTGTCGGCCCTCTTTTGTGGGTCCTCTGTTGTCTGCCTCGTAAACTTTGCTCGCACTACCCAAAGTGGTGTTTCTGGCCCCGGGCGCCCCCGCTTTGTGCGGCCCTCCCCAGATAGCCTCGCGCACCCGATGGCCCCACTTTATCTCTCGTTTTCCCGGTTCCGGTTTAAAAAACGCCTCACAAACAAACCCTAATCTGCACCAATACAAACCCTTCCCCTCCCCCTCCTTCTTTCTTCCGCAAAAGCGCTCGCTCAATTGATAAGCGAAAAATATAGGGGAAGCATACACTTCGAGAAAGTCTCTTGTATCGAAACAGGATATCACTGATAAGCGAATCCCTGAAGCAGCCTAGTCATAAAGACATAAGCCTCTCCGATTAACAAAACGATGTTTGCCGTTGCTACCTTGCTTTATGACCCCAAATACTTGCCTGGCGCGCTCGTGTTGGGCCACACTTTGCGGAAAATAGCGCCCCAAGATATCAAGCTTGTTATACTCATCGAGAAGCCTCGGTTTAGCGAATGGCAGCTTGGGCTTTTGGCCGAGCTTTGGGACGATTTGGTCGATACGCAAGTCTCTGAGTCCCTGCTCCACAAAAAGTTGTGCCAGGACTTGAGACGGCCCGAGCTTGCGAAAACATTCACCAAGATCGAGTTGTGGAACCTTCCTTATGAGAAGGTGTTGTATCTCGATGCTGATGTGTTGCCACTTGAGGGCCACAATGTGGTCACAGACTTACTCAAGTTGGACTTCTTCCGCGGGAAAATCCTAGCAGCTCCCGACTCTGGCTTCCCCGATATATTCAACTCCGGCGTATTTGCATTGACTCCCAATGAGCAGGACTACTCGAATCTCGTGGGGCTAGTGACTTCAGACGACACGGACATTTCGTTTGACGGTACAGACCAGGGCTTGCTCAACCAGTACTTCAACTCGAATCCTGATTGGGTCTCAAGCCTCTTGCTGTCGGGAAAGAAAGACGTCAAGGACTTGTCCCGTTTGGACACCCTGAACTGGATCCGAATTCCTTTCTTGTACAACACCACGCCGAATGCTCAGTATCAGTATTACCCTGCGCTGAAACACTTTGGTTACCCTGACGCCTCGCCTGCGGCCGAAGCAGGACAGCATTCTAGCGATTTTGGAAAGGGCGAAAGCGATGCGCGTCCTGGCCTATTGAATGTTTCACCATATGAAAACATCGCCTTGGAGCACTTCATGACAGGCGCTTCAAGAGCCCAAGTGAGTGTGATTCATTTCATCGGTGCTTCAAAACCTTGGAACAACGAGTCATCGCCGCTTTTCGAGAAGTGGTGGCTGCAATGGTACGAGTATTCCAAGGGAAAGCTGATTGACGACATCATGCGTCGCCAGAAATACGCTATTTCAATCAACCGATTGGAGCTTCCATCCGCAGGAAAGAAAGACCTTGGCATGAAGCAAGTACAGACTCCAGCAGATCTTTGCAACCCTTCAAACTATCAGCACCTCAGGAGTGCAGTATCGGAGGCCAATGCATCAGTTTGGGATGCCACAAAGGAAAGCCCACCGCATGATGCGCCAGTCCATTCATCTTTCGATTTGCGTAAAGAGACATTTAAAAATGACTGGGACGAATTTGAGCAGCAGGAAAAATCTCACAGAGAACACGCCATGAACACATCGCAGATGGCCCAGATTTTCGAAGGGCAATCGCATAGCCAGACAAAGTCTCGGGCTGCTCAAGCAAAGCAGAGTCCTCTACAAACCTCACACGAGTTTGGGGTACACGAGGAGCAGATCGCCGAGCGGGTCTTTGATGAGCGTTCTGATTACACGCCCCATCATCTTTTGATGATGACTGACCGAAACTCGCTAGTTAATAGTGTGCAAGCTCCAAGACTTGCCTCGACGACTACCAAAGACCCAGTAGAAGACCTTGATGAGCAGTTGGCAAGGGCCAGTGTGGCAGAACGCATCCCAGCTGAACAAAGCAACGGCTCGAATCAAAGGCCTGAGATTGCTAGCAACACAACCTTCGAGCCCGCCATGCCCAAGATATTTCCTTGGGAGTATAGAGACATGAAACCTGAGAGAGTCTGGGAGTAGGGGAAATGAACCAGAAAATATTTACAACCAAGGGCGGCATTGGTGCGTATACGCGCGTCTACTATATTTGATTGAATTGGGTAGAAAATATTTTATACGTCCTTTTTGAGCTAAACCATCCTCTCATTTATCATGCCCGCTTATGGCTGGGCTCACGTGTGAACCAGTTGGCAAGCAAAAATATCCCAGGGGTTTTTTACATGCATCCTCTTCGAGCTTAAAATACGGAACAGGCTGCGTAGGAATAGTATGTAAACCAAAAAGGCACCAAAAAATGTGAGGACCAGCTGTGCCGGGGATCCATTTGCAATTCCAGAGTTTTCGATATGCGTATTCCTGCCTAACATAGCAAAGGCAGGCATGAGTCCCAGCAATTTGGTGATACAGACTGCATACTGGCCAGTCTGCGAAACAACACGCCGCCCAACACCCCGAAAACTAGGAGTAGACGATTACTGAAGTATACGATATTTTGCAAGCGTTTTACAATTAGCCCGCTACGGTTCTATCTCCCTTGAAGCAAAACCCCAATGTATGGATTTTTTAGCCGCGTCCGATGGGCTATCCCGCCATGCCACTAGAAAACCACCATGGATGGAAAGGGTTACCCGGCGGTGAAAATTTTGCCGCGAACAAGATTCATGCAGTGCGCACTCCTAGCAGCGCTCAGCTGTGCAATTCAAAAAAAAAACTAGCGCAGGGATTAAGTTCAGCACCCAGACCCATTTTTCTTCACCCAAAAATACACCATGTCTAACGGAATCACCGAAGTCGACGCCAACTTGATCGAGAGTAACTACGACAATGTCGTCTACAACTTCGACGACTTGAACTTGAAGCCTGAGATCGTCAGAGGTATTTTCGGTTACGGTTACGAAGCTCCTTCTGCCATCCAGCAGAGAGCCATTTTGCCCATCACCGAGAAGAGAGACGTCTTGGCCCAAGCCCAATCCGGTACCGGTAAGACTGCCACCTTCACCATCTCTGCTTTGCAAAACATTGACGAGAACGAGAAGGCCACCCAGGCCTTGATCTTGGCCCCTACCAGAGAGTTGGCCTTGCAGATCCAAAACGTCATCTCCCAGATCGGTATGTACTTGAACGTCTCTGTGCACGCCTCCATCGGTGGTACCTCCATGGCTGACGACATCGAGGCTTTCAGATCCGGCGTCCAGATTGTTGTTGGTACTCCAGGTAGAGTCTACGACATGATCGACAGAAGATACTTCAAGACCCACAAGATCAGAATGTTCATCTTGGACGAGGCCGATGAGATGTTGTCCTCCGGCTTCAAGGAGCAGATCTACAACATCTTCAAGTTGTTGCCAGAGACCACCCAGGTCGTGCTTTTGTCTGCCACCATGCCTCAAGACGTGTTGGAGGTCACCACCAAGTTCATGAACAACCCAGTTAGAATCTTGGTCAAGAAGGACGAGTTGACCTTGGAGGGTATCAAGCAATACTACATCAACGTCGAGGAGGAGGCCTACAAGTTCGACTGTTTGTGCGACTTATACGACTCCATCTCTGTCACCCAGGCCGTCATTTTCTGCAACACCAGATCCAAGGTCGAGACTTTGACTGCCCAATTGAAGGATAACAACTTCACTGTCTCCTCCATCCACGCTGACTTGCCTCAATCCGACAGAGACACCATCATGCAGGAGTTCAGATCCGGTTCCTCGAGAATCTTGATCTCCACCGACTTGTTGGCCAGAGGTATCGATGTCCAACAGGTTTCCTTGGTCATCAACTACGACTTGCCAGCCAACAAGGAGAACTACATCCACAGAATCGGTAGAGGTGGTCGTTTCGGTCGTAAGGGTGTTGCTATCAACTTCGTCACTTCCCAGGATGTCGGTATGATGAGAGAGATTGAGAAGTTCTACTCTACCCAAATCGATGAGATGCCTGCTGACATCGGTGCTTTGTTCAGCTAATCTTCTTGATCAGTATTTGTGTACATCTTGCTAGCATCTAAATGTACATACTTTTTCGTTGTAAACTTCAAGCTGTAGCTATATATCTTTTCCCTGACTCTTTAAACTATGTCAGCAACGGTTATGCCCGCAAGCCACACCTTGTTTTTCAACACTAAGTTTAAACTGCGGATACAAGAGATGGTCGCACCGCGCGGTATTCCGAAAGATATAGTAAGAAAGGTCTGGAACAGATCTTTTCATACGTGGCCATCCTAAGAATTATAAACGGATCTAGTATCTCCGTTCTCTTTCTTGAAACAAGCTCGCTACATTGATGAAGTCGGGAAAGACCAATTTCTGTGCACTAGGAGCATGCAGATAGTTTCCTTTAAATTCTATAAAATTGAAAACGTTTGATTATGAAATGAATCGGAAGAACTCACAGATATTCCGGAATTTCCAAGTGCAAAAACGGGGTGTTGGTACCAACCGCTGCATGGTATGCTCCGGTCTCCAAATCACCCTCCGCAGTGGCAATATTCACGTACGTTCTTTCGCTCACCAACTCGTCTTCTCCGTAGGTACCAAAGCCAGCTTTGATCAACCCTCTCCTGACCCACGGTGAGTGAATTCCACTAAAATGAAACTCAACTTCTCTATCCGCATAGTTGTTTAATGCCCTTCTCAAATCGGTTAATGCTTGCACCGAGGATGCATCGATCGAGGGGACACAGGAGAAATCGAAGTGAACGATCTTGAGAAGTGGTCTCTCATCTTGTAGCGATTCTTCAGGAACATCCGTCTTCTTTTTAAAAAGACTCCATCTCAATGGACCAGGGTCATTCCATGGTCTATCACCAACAGATCCACTCGAATAGGGCCTGCCACGACGTGTGATTCTCTTCGCTTCATCACTTACCTGATCTATGAAGCCAGAAGCGTTTGGGTACGAAAATGACTGAAGCGGTCTGAAGACAATCACTCCGGGAGGAGGCGGAAGAACGTCAACATCATCATTTAGACCCTTCTTTGACAAAGGCACCCACTTCGAAACAAACCGAATGTTCGGGTGGTTCTTGACAAGCTGGCCACTAGAGGGAAAGTTTTGCTTTTCGAACGTGTCCTTAGACTTCAGCTTGCTTGCCTCATTGGATTGATATGAGTCACGAGACAACACCTGCTGAATTTCGAAGTTATCATCGGAGCTTTCGCTAGAAAACGATTCCTCTTTTTTGAATTGAATGACTGGGTTTACAACCTCTGCAACGCGGATTCTTCCCAAAAACTGACCACTTGGCTTCGCTATTCTGAACAAAAGCACTGCAGCAGATGCAGCTATAGCGAAATAAATACCGTTTTCAATCGACGAGAAAACAGTAATTATCACAGCGATGAGAAAAATTCCACAGTCAATAGGGTTTACTTCCCATAAGTTCCATGTGGATCTCCAACTGGTGAAGAGATCCGAAACAGCGTGGATAATCACGGCTGACAACGTGGCCTTAGGAATGTAGTAGAAAGCCTCAGTCAAAACGTATAATGCCAACAACACAACACCTCCGGTAAAAATTCCTGCCAATGGAGTTCTGACACCACACTTGGCTTTCAATGCAGATCTGGAAAATGATCCAGTTGCTGGGTATGCGTTGAAAAAAGTTCCAATCAAGTTATTCACTCCAATAGCAATCAATTCTTGGTCCGGGATGACCTTGTAGTCGTTGACTCTTCCAAAGGACTTGGAAATTGCAATGTGCTCCAACAACAAGATAATGGTGGAGACAGGGATCTCAGAGGCCATGGCACCAATTATTCCATCTGGGATGGCTAATACTCCAACGTGCTTCAAACCAGAAGGGACTTCGCCAATGGTCGTGATCGTTCCTGAGAAGTCGGATTTGGAGCCATTGAATCTCACTAATTCTGGGTGCACAATTCCCCAGGCAATAGCACTAGCAACCACAATCACAATGGCGTTTCTTAGTTGCTGAAGATAAAAGAACCACATCTTTCTTCTTGGGTATCTCTTGCCCAAGTACTCACATGAGAACTTCCAAACGTATAAGATGACAAGAGGTACAAGCCCAAAAGCAGCGTTGACGTTTGTTAAGGGTAGTTTCTTCAATGTGGCAATGACAGTGTGGAAAGATGTAATTTTGGTGTTGACGGATGAATTGTAACCCATCAATGCAGGTACTTGGCCGGTAATAATATTGAAAGCGGAGCCAGACATAAAGCCCATAACAGCAGGCATGGAAATGAACTCAAGAATGAAACCAAGTCTCAATATACCGATGGCGGTGGCGATACCACCACAAATAAGGGACAAAAATGTTGCTATTTCAGGTGCAGAATAAGTATCACCATACTCATTTTGCACTTTTGAGATCACTTTTCCAACTTGTAAAGACATCACAGCCACTGGGCCAATAGATACATCTTTCGACGTAGCGAAGAATGAGTAGATGAAAACACCAACAAAAGACGAGTAAAGTCCGTATTCTGGACTCAAGCCTGCCAACAGCGCGTATGACATAGATTGTGGAACTAACACGACACCAACCGTGATGCCCGCTATCAAGTCACCATATAACCATTTGGTGTTGTAATGCAAAATCCATTTGGCAATAGGAAACAATGAAATTAAGTAGTCCGCAAATTTTGAGAGAGGATTACCAAAGAGATCTTTTCCGTAATCCACCACATTAGGCTCTTCTTCAAAATATTCAGGCACGAGCACGTTTCTATCGTCGTTGGTTATTGGAGGCTGGTGTTCTCTCTGAAATTCGTGGCTCTGAACCCTTGAGGCACGATTTTGGTTGTATTCTTGCGGCTCTGCCATTTCAGAGACCGCAAGCGACAACACACTTCCGTTATGGACCATGTTTTGTGTTTGTAATTTGGTTGCTATATTGAAAATATGAGCTTATAGAGCCTCAAATAGTACGTGAGCGTCTTCGGGTATATGATAAACCAATCTGAACTTAACTCAAGTGATGGGAGCGTCAAGAAAGATGACTAAAGAGAAGAGGTTGTCAATTTGATGTAAATAATGTAAGATAGAGAAAAATAGAGATGCATATGAGGCAAACAAAGTGTGGCCACTTTTAAGAGTTAGTTAGAATATTATGTCTTACAAATCATGAACCACAGTTTGTCAAGCGCACGTGACGCAGTGCCCAGTTTGCGCCACAGATAAACCTCAGCCCCCGGAGCTTCGAGAGCTGTGAGGTAGAATAGAGCATCATACATTTCGCTTTCAATGACTGAACTACTGTTATTTACAGAAACTGTATTGGCGACTTGGTACAAGCTACATAGCTCAAGATTGTAAAAAAGAGGCTAACAATTGCTGCGAAATATTTGCAACTGTCACGTGAGGTGTTGCAATCCACTCATCGAAAAAGCAATGCGCCTGCAATTTTTTTTTTTTTTTTTTTTT